GACGACGACGACGACGACGACAACGCAAGAGCGCGCGCGCGCGCACGCTTTTGTTGAACATCCGTGTTGCGAAACCTTGTGTTTGTAGGTTTTTTGGACACACGATTCTGAAATCCTCTCGAAACCGATGGGTTTTGAAGGATCCTGGCATACGCGCGCGACGACGCGCGCGTCTGCACTTCGTCCCATTTTTTGCAGAGGATTCTCGCGACGGCACACGCGCAAGGGCGTTCGACAGATTTCGACATGCGCGCGCGAAGCCCATTTGGTAGAATTTTGTGAAAAGCTTGAAGACCTATGGTTCTTTTTAATTTCGCAAGAGCTCACGCGTAAGCTGGTTTAGCAAATCAGTGTTGCGAAACCCTGTGTTTGTGTATGTTTTGGGGGAACTCGATTGCGAAATCCTTCCGGCACCGAAGGTTTTTGGAGGATTTCGGCATGCGCGCGCGACGACGCGCGCGTGTGCATTTCGCCACATTCTTTGCAAGGGAGTCGCGAAAAAGTTCTATGCTAGAACAAAGAATGTCCCCGCATATTGTTTTTTACAAGGGAACCTCAGGGGGACCGATCCCGGCCCCCCTGGGATAGTGTAAATTCATATTTAGGATGGACATGTGGTCAGAATCATATATGATTTACATACCCGAAAGGGGGAACGGATAACGCCCAGGGGGGGGGGGGGGTAGAGTCTATTTTCTGTTTAGCGAGGAGAATATATGTGGCGCAGGCTATGTGGTACTACGCGGCGCCATCTACGCGGCAAGCAACGCAAAGCAATGCAAAACAAAGCAACGCAAAAACAACTCAATGCAAATCAACGAAAAGCAACGCAAAGCAGGACAACGCAAAGCAGCGCAACGCAAAGCAATGCCAAGCAATGCACTGCAAAGATATGCAAAGCAAAGCAATGCAAAACCATGCAAATCAACGCAAAGCAATACACAGCAAAGCAACGCGACGCAAAGCAAAGCGACGCAACGCAAAAAAAAAAAAAAAAAAAAAAAAAAACGCAATGCAAAGCGAAGCAAAGCAATGCAAAACAAGACAATACAAAGAAAAGCAATGCAAACTATAGCAAAGCAAACCCATGTAAAGAAATGCGCAGCAAAGCAATACAAAGCAAAGCACTGCGGCACGAGCACGGGCGGAAGCAAGGCAATGCAAAGCAAAGCAACGCAATGCAATGCAAAGCAATGCAGATCAATGCAATGCAAAGCAAAGCCGTGCAAAGCAAAGCCGCGCAAAGCGCTGCAATTCAAAACAACGCAAAGCAAAGCAATGCTATGCAAAGCAAAGGAATGCAAAGCAAACCAGTGCAAATCAACGCAAAGCAATGACAATCAAGGGAAAGCAAAACAACCTACAGAAAGGCATATCAAGACAAAACAATGCAATGCAAAGCAAAATACCGCAATGCAATGCAGAGCCATGCAAAGCAAAACAAAGCAGTGCAAAGCAACGCAATGCAACGCAGCGCAAAGCAATGCGAAGCAATGCGAAGCAATGCAATACAACACAAAGCATTGCAAAGCAAAGCAACGCAAAGCAATGTAAAGAAATGCAATGCACAGCAGAGCAATGCGGCGCGGGCTCGGGCGACACCGGCGGCACGGGCGGCACGGGGACGGCACGGCGGCGACACGGGGCGGCACGAGGGCGGCACGGGGCGGAACGGGGGCGGCATGCGGCGGCACGGGGGCGAAAAGCCCGCAGGCATGGCCAGATGGTTAGACCAAGTGAGGGTCCCGAAGCTTCCGCTGTTTGGGGATACATATATATATATATATATATATATGTATGGGAGCCAGCGTATTCCCCCACCCCTGCTAAAAATCGATGTGGCTTTGTTCCGGAAATCGACGCTATTCGCGACGTTTCCTTCTTCCAGCCCTCCTCTATTCCACTGTTCCTCCATTCCACTTATCCATTCCGCTCCCTCCGTCCCCCCGTCTTTTTCCTCCTGCTCCACGCCCCTGGAGCAGGGCAAGGAGGGAGGAGGAAGAGGAGAAGGAAGAGTGAAGGTTGAGGGGTGAGGGGCGAGGAGCTCCAGACGGGATGAGCCGGGGGAGCTTTCGTCCCACTCCTCTTCCTCACTTCTTTTCCTGCTCGCCCTCCTCCTCGGGAGAAGCAGAACTCCTCCTGCTCCACCTCGGAGGAGGAGGAGGAGGAGAAGGACGGGGCGGAGAAGGGAGCGGAATGGAGGAGGAGTGGAATGGAGGAGGAGCGGATGGAGGCATTGAAAAACCAAGAGAACACAAGGAAAAACAAAAAAACAAAAAAAAAAAAAAAAAAAAAAAAAAAAGAAAAACCAAGAGAACACAAGGAAAAACAAAAAAACAAAAAAAAAAAAAAAAAAAAAAAAAAAAGGAAACCTAAAACAGACACACACAAACACACATCACACGCGCGCACGCACGCAACGCACGCACGCACGCACACACGCCACGCACGCAACTGCACGCACTCCACGCACGCACAGCACACCGCACACACACACACACACACACAGTCCACACACACCACACACACACACACACAACCACACACGCAACGCACGCTACGCACTACGCAACACGCGCACACACACACACACAAAGACACACACACACACACACACCCACACACACACGAACACACACACACACACACACACACACACACACACACACAAGGCACAAAACACACACACACACACACACACACAGACAAACAAACAAACAAACAAACAAACAAAACTTGCTCCACCGTTCCACTGATCCACCGCCCCCTCTCTCCTCGTTCCACCCACCGTTTTCCCCCGTCCCCCCCACCTTTCATTTCTCCTCCTCCTCTTCCTTCTCCTCCTTCTCCTCCTCCTCCTGCTCCTCCTCCTCCTCCTCCTCCGTCTGACCTTCCCGCCGCCTCCTCCTCCTTCTCGCGCCGCACGCCTCATTCCTCCTCCTCCTCCTCCTCCTCCTCCGCCTCCTCCTCCTCATCCTCAATGTCCTCCCCCCTCGCCCGCCTCCCCCTCTTTCCTCTCTCGCTTTCCTCCTCCTCTCTGCCCCTCCTCCGGAGTCCCTCCTTCTTCTCCTGTTCCTCCGCATCTTCCTCCTCCCCGTCCCCCCCACCCTCCCTCCTCGCTTTCCTTCACTTTCCTCCTCCTCCTCCTCCTCCTCCACCCCTCTCACTCTCATCATCCTCCTCCTCCTCATCATCATCATCATCCGTCCCCTCCTCCACCTCCTCCGTCCTACTCCTCCTCCTCCTCCGCGCCCATCCTCACTTCTCCTCCTCCTCCTCCGCCTCCTCCTCCTCCTCCTCTTCGCCTCTCCTACTCTCCTTCCCTCCACTTCCTCTTCCTCTCCTCCCCCTCCTCCAGGAGGGGGGTCTTCCTTCCCTCCTCCTCCTCCTCCTCCTTAGCCTCCTCCTCCTCTTCTCCTCCTCCTCCTCTTTCCTCTCCTCCTCCCCATCCGCCTCCTCCTCCACGTCCCCCCCTCCTCGCCCCCCCCCCCCCTCCTCCTTCGCCTCGCCCTCCTCCTCCCCTCCTCCGCCTCCCCCTCCTCCTCCTCCTCTTCCTCCTCCCTCCTCCTTCTCGCTCCTCCTCTTCCTCCTTCCTCCTTCCTACCTCTTCCTCCTCCTCCCCATCCGCCTCCTCCTCCACGTCCTCACCCCATCCTCGCCCCCCCCCCTCCTCCTTCTCCTCGCCTTTCCTCTTCCCTCCTGCGCCCTCATCCCTGCTCCCTCCTGCATCCTCCCTCCCCCCCCCCCCCTCCGGAGGGAGCGAGGCGTGCATCGTGAGAGGATGACCTGAGGCGGACGGAGGGGGAGAAGGAGGAGGAGGAGGAGGAGAAGGAGGAGTGAAAGGTGGGGGGGGCGGGAGGAAAGGGTGGGTGGAACGAGGGGAGAGGGGCCAGAGGAGCAGTGGAACGGTGGAGTAAGTATTGAAATCTTAAATTTTGTTGGTTTGGTTGGTTGTTCCTTGTGTCTTTTGGTTTGTCAGCCGTCGGTCGTTGGCTGCGTTATTTCTGTTTGTGTCGTTTTGTGTTTGTTTGGTTTTTCAATGCCTCCATCCACTCCTCCTCCATTCCACTGCTCCTCCATTCCGCTCCCTCCTCCGCCCCCGTCCTCCTCCTCCTCCTCCTCCTCCTCCTCCTCCTCCTCCTCCTCCTCCTCCTCCTCCTCCTCCTCCTCCTCGTTTGAGGACTTTCGAGGAGGAGGAAGAGGGAGGGAGGAGGAGGGAGGAAGGGTGGAGGAGGAGGAGGAGGAGGAGGAGGAGGAGGAGGGAAGACGGAATAAGAAGAGGCAACGGAGGAGGAGGAGGAGGTGGAGGAGGAGCTACCCTCAAACAATACATCTATGCGTGTTTGCAGGGGTGGGGGACTACGCCAGGAACCATATATATATATATAGTGTGTGTGTGTGCGGCCGATATTCGTCGGGCGTGATGCTGTTTGTGGTTGCCCAATGTGCTGCGCCATCCTTGGCCAGATCTTGTTTCCGATGGCCGTATGAATGCTGTTTCCACGCTTAGTGGTTGGCCAAAACCTTGTGCATCTTCGCTTCGCGTGAAAGATATGCGCTCGCACGCGGCTGCGAGGACGTATACGCACACCGGGGCCATAGCAAGAGGGAGCCGAAGAGCAAGAGGAGAAATGGGAGGAAGGGGCGGAGGGAACCCATGACAGTCGTCCGTCAAGAGCTCCAAGACGACGGTGCAAGTTCTGCGCACGCAGTCAAAAACACGCGTTGTTGTTTGATTGTCCGAGTGTGTCTTGAGCTCCCCCGCAGATCTTGCTTCTCTCCCGGCTTCTTGCCAGGCGACTGCACCCAGATTTACTTCTAGGGCACACCAGTTTCGACAGGCACACGTGCATGAAAGCATTCGCCGGCGACCATGAGTAGTTGGTTGTTTTGTTGTGGGATCCTGCACTGAGCATTCGTGGTCCGTACAGTGAGCTTTCTCTGTTTTGCCGCACCCCGAAATTCATTGTGGCATTGTTGCCCCGAGCTGTTCCCGCAAGGTCGGATTCACCACCTTCCCGGCAGGCTCGATGCCGTTGGCGGGCGAGATGGATGATAGTGTTTGCTTCGACTCCGAGGGCTCTTATCAGCACAATAGGACGCCAAGCGCATGAGGTGGGGTCATAAAGATGACGGGCCACGACCACCTTCCAGCCTCTTGTGCAAATTACGTTGATCAAAGACGCCTACAGCGAGCAACCACCGCCCCCTTGTTTTGGAAGAGCCTATGTGGCCAAACGTTGGACCGAAGTCTTGCCAAGCTATTGGGCTACCGTGTTCCCCCAGCCGTTTTGGAAATTCTTGGAGGGACAATTCGGCAAAGAAGAGGGAGAGAGAGAGAGAGAGAGAGAGAGAGGAGAGGGAGGAGAAGGAGAAGGAGGAGCAGGAGGAGGAGGAGGAGGAAGAGGATGCTTCTTGGGTTTCATGGGAACTTCCTGGGGGCCTGTCCGAAGCCTCTCGGGGGCCTCTGGTGTGGGGGCTTTGAGAGGCCTCGAAGGATCCTCTTGGCCTTCGTTTGCCGTCTTGGGGGCCTCACTGGGCCGCTTTGTGGCCCTCTTGGGACGCGTTCGGTCCTTCTGGGAGGTCTCTGTGGCCGTCTCAGGGTCCTCCTGGGGCCGACTCGGGGGCCTCTCGGGCCGGCTTGGGTCCCTCTTGGGGGCTTCCGGGGCCGTCTTGAGGCTATATTGGAGGCCTCTGGGACCGTCTTCGATTGTCGGAAGCCCGAACAGGCCACTAAAATCCTTCAACAACTCAAGGAGCCTCAATGATTTGGATCTCCTGAGGGCCGTCTGGAGGGCCTTTTAGGGCCATCTTGGGCTGTCTTGGGAGCCCCTTGGGCCCCATTCAGGCCGTATTGGGGTCATCGTGAGTTGTCTCGGAGGCACAGCAGGTGCCACGGTTTTGGACCAGAGTCGTCTTGGACACCTCTTGGGATCCTTCGTAGCACCCCTTGAGAGCCTCTTGGAGGTCTATCTAAAGCGATCTTGTGCTATGCTGAATCATATTGTAGGTAATCTTGGGTTATCTGGGGCCCTCTGGAGCCATCTTGGGTTCTCTGGGGCCCTCTGGCCGCTCACCGCCCTCCCTCTGTCCAGATTCAGAGGGAGTGGGTAGGGGGAGGGGCCAAGTTCCCAGCGAGAACGCCGCAAGCTGTCTCGCTCACACCCGCCCTCCCTCCCCCCACAGAAGCACCCGAGTCTCAGCATGGGCAGGGGCCGCCATCGACCATCATCGGGAACCAACGCAGACGCCAGCCAAGTGCGCGACGCCCGCGAGGTGCGCCGCACGTGCAAGCACACCCCCATCATCCTCGCCAAATAACAGTGTAAAGTGTTCGCGGGAAAAGTGCACTTGGCACTTTTGTATGCAGGGTGATGGGCTTGCGCGCAGCAGCTAACATGCTGGCACGCCCCTCGCCCCTGTCAAAAAACTATGCAATGGGATCGCTTGGTGCCCGCGCATGATCCAGAGTCTGCCGCAACGTGCACTTTGTATCGTTTGTTTGGTCGGGATGGTGGGGGGGGTCATGGTTCTGGGTTCGCTGACAGTCAGGTTGGGGAGGGGTGTATGTATCCATAAGCATATTGGAGCCATCTACCCGTTGCGCCCCCTCCGCCCAAGGAGTCCGGACCCACGGGGAGGTGGTGGAGGAGGGGTAACATTCGAAGGGGAAGAGGAAGTTGCGTGGGGGTAGTTGTTCCGCTAGTCGGCGGCGAGGAATGGAGAGAAGTAAATTAAAGAAGACCTTCTCAGAAGGCGGCTGAGCGTCTCACTTCTGAGAAGGCCTTCTCTTTCTCACATCCCCCCTGTCACGTCACCGAGCTAGAGCACGTACGCCCAGAGGCCTGGCGGGATGATCCAGGTACATGCGGCAACTATCGCCACTGCACCAGAAGGCTGTGACATGTGACACCTCCCGCCATTTAGGTGTCCAGGGGTCGAAACATGTGACTTCTTATTCCGCAGACTCGAGAAGAGCATAGCCTGCAGTTGTTGTCCTCAAGGTTCAGAGAGCGGTATCGCTCGACACCTCTACCACCCACATCCCAGACGTTTGTAACATGTAACAGGTCGCTTCCCGAGTGAAGATCGCATCATGTGAAATCGGGAGCGTGTAGCCTCCCGGGAGCGTGTTCGAGGGTTTATTCAGATGGTGTTCGGGCCTTTGGCGAGTTTGGTGGAGGTCTGCCAGTCACTTGGACAAGTGTTGCAGCCGTTTGAGTGATGTTGGCACCATTGGGGACGAGATCGGTGACTATCAACAACGTTTAAGATTTCGTGGTGAGATTAACCATTGGCCCAACATTACATTGGGCACACTGGTGACAGTTACACTGCGATGGCATGAGATGTGATCGTGTCAGGATTTGAGCTGCATCGATCGGGGGGCTGTGGAGCAGCCACATGCCAGCTCCGAAGCAGGTCTGGGAGATTGAAAATGTAGCCACAGGGCAGGCGCTAGGCACTGGGTAAGCACGAGTAACTCCGAGGGGGCTATCGGGCGCCTGCTTGGTAGCATGGAAGATAGTTATGAGCGCGGGGCTTGCAACGGAAGGGTTGGCGGGGGATTGTTGTGTCTTCGGGCCTTAAGGGAACCTTGTGACGACTGTACGCCTGGTGAACAGTTGGGTCAGATGTTCGGCATGAGGAAGGAGGGGAGTGGGGAAGAGGACCAGGATGACATGGAGGAGGAGGGGGGGGAAGAGGAGGGGAAGGAGGCCGTGGCGGCAGGCTCTTCCCCAGGCGTGGTCTCCCGACGACGCCCCCCGAAAGCACCCATGACATGGATAGGACAGGAACGTGGGCACCGCACTGTTCTCCGAAGCGGTGCTGCTGCGTTCGCGCTCGTGCGAGCACAGACTCGCGCGCGCGCGCCGCACGCTCGTGCACGCGCACGTGCACGCGCACGCCTCCGCGCACAGAGCGCGGCCGTGCGCGGGCGGGCCGCGGAGTGAACGGCCCCCGCCGCGCCGAGGAAGCGCACGTGGGTCTCCGACAGGGCACTCCCGGGCACCGTGCTGGCCGTGCTGCTCAACCTCAGCGCGGAGGGGCCGAACACCAACACCGTCTCCTTCTTCAAGGAGAGGTCCTCCGCCGTGGCCTCGTCTCGACTGCTCCTCATCGGGATTCTGATTTCGTCGTGGCGCATTCCCACTTGACTTGAACGGGCGAAGAAGGGCATTGAATACATTGTTCCGCCGTCGGGGACGCCTGACCCCCGGGCGGCTGGAAAGTTCATACCCCTATGTGGCACCACAGGGGTATAAAGTGTCCAGCCGTCCTGGGACAAGCGTCCCCGACTCTCTTCGCCCGTTGACCATTGCCACCGCTCGGTGGCCCACGGAGGTCACCTAGCCGGGGGGGGCCACTGCTACGAAATGGCCCCGGCGTGGACCAAGCGAGCTCCTGCGGGCACAGTGCTGAGGCTCCTGGCGGCGATCTTGGACGAGCCGCTTTTGGGGGGCACGCCCGACCTCCTTCGGGGAGAGGGCCCCCCGCCGCAAGCCCGCGCGGCCCGAGGCCGGAGCGGGCGGGCGGCGGGCGCCGTCCGGGCTCCGCGCGGCAGGCGCCGCCGGCGTGCGCCTCTCCCTCCGGGCGGCCCCGAGGAGCGACGCAGAGAAGCAGGGCCGACTGCGCCGACACGCGCGCGTGAGTTGCTCGCGGGCGACAGACATGTCCGTATCCACGGCCTCGCGGGCCGGGCCCCTGGGCCGCGACGCCGCGGATACCGGGCGTTTCTTCGCGGAGGCCCCGCGCGGAACGGATCCGTGCGACCGCGTATCCGCGGGATGGCGCCCCGGAATCCAGACCGCGAGGGCTTGGATATGCACGCGCAAGGCCGCGCGCAAGTGCCCTCGCTTCCGGTGGAGCGTGCCGCGCCGACGGCCCGCGCAAGCCGCGGCGCAGGGTCGCTATGCCGTCGTGCGCCAGGCCCGCGCATCTTCGTCGCCCCGCTGGAGCCAGAGCAGGCGCGGTCGGGGGGCAGATTCTCTCCACCCCGACGTGGCAGGGCGGCGGGCGCTCCGAGGGTCGCTCCGCGCCCGAAGGCTGGGGGCGTGGAGACCGCTCTGGGCTCTTCGGGGGGGGGGGGCCTGCGGAGGCCAGCCAGGACCACCGGGGCGGGCCGCCTGCGCGCAGGCCGCAGCCCTGTGCCATCCCAATCGAGCGAACAGAACTAGGCACAGACACCGCTTCTGGCCAGGCCCCTCCTGGGCCCAGGATCGGTGCACATGCTTTCCTGGCCAAGGCAGGAGGGCGTGTGCACCGATCCTGGGCTCAGGATGGGCCTGGCCAGAATCGGTGTGTGTGTGTGTGTGTGTGCATAGTTCTCTTTCCTCTGTCCCAACGCCGCCGGCGCATCGGCGGTGCAGCGCGACCGCCCGAGCCCGCCTGCTCTGGCCCCACGTCGTCGCCGTGAGGGAGGCCTGTCCGGAGCGAGGCGGGCCCGGGCTCTCCGCCCCGAGTCGTCTCCCGCTGGGCCCCGGGGTCCGTGGAGGGCCCCGGTGGGCCGAGCGCGGGCCCAGCAGCCCAGGGCGCCCTTTGCCCCCAGGGCCCGCTGCGGTCGTGCCCAGCCCCCGCCCTCCCCGGCACCGTGCCGCTCGCCGCGCCTCGGGGCGCCAGAGACGGGGGCACAGCCAGCGGGGGCACGGGGAGCGCCGATCTCCACGTTTGGCTATGCCCCCGTTGCGGGGGCCCTGGGCGCCGCGAGCGGGGGTTACAGCAAGCGGGTGTATGTGGGAGAGCCTGAGCCCCCGTTCAGCTAGACCCCCGCTTGCGAAGCCCCGAGCGTCCGGCTGTGCCTTCCTCTGGGAGCAGGTGGGGCCTCGAGGGGAAGAACGCGCGCCGCAGGTCAGGAGGAAGCACCTTGGCACAGAGACAGGAGCACCGGTAAGCGTTGCGGGAAACACCGGCACAAGCACGAGAAAACGCTGCTTTCCAGGAAGGTGTGGGACAATATGTGGGAAATGATGGGGGAGAGGAAGATCCTGGAGAGAGAGAGAGAGAGAGAGACATACATACATACATACATACATACATACATACATACATACACACACACACATACATACATACATACATACATACATACATACATACATACATACATACATACAGACAGACAGACAGACAGACAGACAGAGACAGACAGACAGACAGACAGACAGACAGACAGACAGACAGACAGACAGACAGACAGACAGACAGACAAACAGACAGACAGACAGACAGACATGCATACATACATACATACATATACATACATACATACATACATACATACATACAGACAGACAGACATACATACATACATGCATGCATACATACATACATGCATACACACATACATACATACATACATACATACATACATACAAACATACACACACACATACATGCATGCATGCATGCATACATGCATGAATACATACATACATACATACATATATACATGCATGCATGCATGCATGCATGCATACATACATACAGACAGACAGACAGACAGACAGACAGACAGACAGACCTATAGATATGTATATATATATATATATGGGACACCATGGAACATCCTGGGGGTTGTTGCGTGTGCCCCCCTAGGGCCCCCGCAGGAAGGGCCTCAAGGGGAAGAGCGGCGCGCCGCAAGGCCGCGCGATGCCGACTGCTCCCCCTCGTGCAAGCCGCCCGGTCGGCCGAAGGCCCGTATTTTCCAGGCGCGCGGTGCGAAGAGCCGCGAGGACGCGGGCGTGCTTGGGAGCAGGCCCCCCCCCCCCCCAAGGGGGCTCGGGTGACTGCTTCGGGGCGCCCTCCTCATCCTCCTCCTTCTCCTCCTCCTAAGGCTACCCGCACTCCTCCTCCTCCTCCTCCTCCTCCTCCTCCTCCTCCTCCTCCTCCTCCTCCTCCTCCTCCTCCTCCTCCTCCTCCTCCTCCTCCTAGCGCACCCCCACTGCCGAAGAGGCAGCTGATCTAGGCGCGTGTTGTGGAGCCGCGAGGGCGCGGGCGTGCGTGGCACCGGTGGCCCCATAGTTGGCTGCCCGGCATTCCTCTGGGGAAGCAGCGCGAGAGAGGGCAGAGGTCGGATTCGGCGGCGAAGACCGAACCCTGCCCTCGCCGATCAACGATCCGGGCAGCTCGACAGGCGGCGGGAGCAGGACTCGGAGTTCAGCAGACGCGTGGCGAAGTCTGACACCTCCCGTCGAGGCAGGAGTCGATGGTTGGCGGGAGCAGGGTTCGGATGTCGCCACACTGATACTCCCGACTCTCGCGAAACGTACCAGTTGGGCCTGTGCGGAGATGTCCCTGTCGCGGGATGGGGAGCTGAGCGAGGAGGAGGCGCGAGGAGGAGGAGGACGAGGAGGAGGAGGACGAGGAGGAGGAGCAGGCGGCGGGCGCAGAGAGAAGGGGGCGTCTGCTCGTTGCTTCCACGTTCCGCGGTGAGCGATCCTGTGAAAAGGCGCGATGTTGTCATTCTAGTTTCTTGATGGAGTGCATGGGGCGGAGAGGAGGAAGAGGAGGAGGAGGAGGACGACGAAGAGGCGAAGGAAGGGGGAGGGGGCAGGGAGAGGGAGAGAGGGAAGAGGAGGAGGAGGAGGAGGAGGAGGCGTAAGGAGGGAGATGGAGCAGGAGGAGGAGGAAGCAGGCTGCGACAGGATGGTCTCCCACGAGGCTCACACGCTGGCAATCGGGAAAAAGCGGGTGAGTCGAGCTGGTAAAGACGGGGGTCAATGCAAATTAGGGTCAGCCAGAGTGCCAGATCTTGCAGGATCTTGCAAAGTCAGGGTTGCATTGACCTGGGCTAGCGTGCAGAATCGTACAGGAGGATATTGCAGGACATTGCAAAGCTTGGATGACCCGGGTTTGCATTGATGACCCGGGTCAGTAGGTCCCCAAGGGAGGAGGAGATTGAGGGCGACAACGAGGCGGACGAGCGTCGCGAAGCTGAGAGACGAGACCGTTTTCGTTTCTCCCCTCTCCGAGGACGGCGTTAGAATATCGGACCCCGTGCCGCTGCCGGAGCACATGCTAGGCGGATTGTGCTCTTGGCTTGCACCCCTCGTCGCCGTCCCCCCCTCGCCGTCTCCCCTCGGGCCTTCTTGCCTCCTCCTGACTCCAGTCTAGCCTCTCCACAATTGATCAACAGGAGTACTGCTCGCCCCCTTCCCCTGGTACCGTGCTGGTTCTCCGCCGCTTCTCCCGCAGATTGTTTTGATGCGCGCACGGGACTTCAAAACTTGGACTTAAATATCCGCTGTGTCGATCAGACCTTTGCTGGTCCTTCGAAAACGTTGCTCCCGCTGCAGCGTCGGCCGCATTTAAGGATTGGCGCGCTGCTCCACACGAGAGAGTCCCACGTTATAGTTCCTACAGGTCGCACAACATGCGTTACATTTCATAGGTAGCATACAATCACTGCTCGCGTCCACGCTGGCATCATGCTCGTCTGATGTGGTATTGTATGGCACCTGCCCACTGTGAGCATCGGCTCGGCGCGCATTGCTAGCCTGTCCCTCTGCGCGTGCACTCCGACCTGCAGTTTGGATCGCTTTTCAAGACATCCTCACAGTTCCATACCATACTCCCTTCTCCCCACACGCCGTTCTTCTCCAAAGCGAGTTGCCGTGAAACCCTGCTCTTCGTAGGCATTGCGACCCCTGTTCCCCGAATGTCACGAGGTCTCGGTCTGTGTTCACAGAATATGTGTGTGCCGCACGTTAGGTAATTTGACATGCTTGCCGCGGTCGCTTCGAGTCCTGCAGGTGTGCAGCCACCTCGCGCCAGGCCGAAAGCATCCGAGAGCTGAATGAAGGCCCACTCTTCGACCTAAGTTGGAGCTCTTGCCGTTTCGTGCATCCCCACCAGCCCATCTAAAAAGAATCGCCAGCCGAGTTGCCCAGACCAGGGATGTGTAGCGGCATGCAGTCACGCTCTGGGGGCCTCATCGGGGCATCGCGGAACTCTGTTGAGGCCTTCTTGGGGCTCTTTTGTGGCAATGTTGGAGGCCTCTCGTGGGGCCTTCTCGGAGCCCTCTTGACTTGTCTTATGGCCATGTTGGGGGCTTTGAGGGGCCATCTTGGGAGCTATCGAATAAAGAGAAATGGGTTCTTAATGTCAGTCCCCCCTGGGACGCCGATGAATTGCCTCTTGGGGCGGCCTCTGCGCGTTAAGAGGCCCTCTTGGACCCCTCTGGGGGCTCTCTTGGCCCATATTGAAGCCATCATGGGGCCTCAGTAGCCCATCGGAAGGGAAAAGGCGAGAAGACAAGCAAGATTGAGTTGTTTTAGGTTTTTGGAAGGAGCGTGTTCTCTCGGAGGGGTTCGTTGGAATGCTCCGTCGCCTCTTGCAGCCGTCTTGGGGTGGTCAGGGCACCTTTTTGGAGACATGTTGGACGATAGATTGAGCCACCTTGGCTACATTGTGCGATCTTGGAGGCCATCTTGAGCTATTTGGGGCCATTTGGGGCCACCTTGGACGCTCCAACGACCCACAAAACGCCCACTCCAGACCAGGGAGAGAGGCCAGGGGGAGAGGTAAACCCTTCCCCCGAGGGAGGGATGAGGCTGGAAGAGCTAACTCCTTCAACCACCCACGCCCGAAGGGCTGGTGGGACTTTTGGGATAAGCTTCGCCAGGGAATGCGTAGAGCGGAGGGAACACACACCACACAGAAGAGAGAGAGAGAGAGAGTCCACAAGCAGCATCTGCCAGCCCTGGATTTACGCAGTTATGGTGTGTAACTTTTGCCCCGTGAGTCTCAGGCTTCCGAGCGGGAGAGACAGAGAGAGACGGGCCATCGTGGGAGAGGAGGTATGGAAGGGACGATAGTCCAGCGCCGCTCGGACCGCAGGCAAGCCGTTGTACCCGATCGTCACGTTCCGGAGCATGACGGTCCGTACCTCGGCCTATTCTTCCTCCTCCCCCTCCTTACATCAATATCCGTTTCCACATTGCATGTTTGTTGTCTACGCGTCAGGATAAATGCCACGAATGGCAGTGTAGCTTTTGGCTTGCTGCTCTGGATTTCAAGAAAGCAATCGATTTTGTTGAGCCTCGTTGTCTGTGGCGTACCCTCGCCCGACACGGCGTTCCATCTGGCTACACATCTTTGGTTCACAAGTTTTGCACTGGACAGACAACCAGAGTGCGCACTGACTGTCCGAGCACGCCTAACGAAATTCAGCACGGATCAAAAGAAGGGGACCATTTGGGCGTTCTGTTGCTCAATTGTCTTATCGAGGACGTTGGGTACGATGTCAAGCATAGTGACTGAGAAAGCCTTGGGCTTGAAAACGGCATTCACGAAGCACGCGCAGCTGACGAATTCACGTTTTGCCGACATATTCCCCTTCCTCAGCACGCTGAGGCAGCTAAAGACCATGCTTCATCACATCGAGCAGAGGCACAGGCAGCCCGGAGGAGCCGATGTTATCCCGTATAACCGCAGCGCGCAGCATTTTGGCAGAATGTTGGGAGTCGACCGGCCTCGTGATGCGGAGACGAACCATCGTATCCGGAGTTCTTGCATGCGTTCCACGCAACATTGCGCTGGGCTCACTGACAGAAATTGATCATGAAGTTCACGTATTTGGTTGTTGGAGCGAACAGGGACCGTCACGATGGTATCGGCTCGGCCACGCGGGTGCGGACGCGCGAGATCGAGGGCAGGATCCGGCAAGCACGACAGGGAATGTGAATTATCCGCACGCCTAGGCGCAGAGAGCGCCAGCAGTCAACTTCTTCACCGTCATAATCTTCGTTTTCTTCGTCTCCCGGTGATACCTCGCGCGATGGCGACGTGGACTTGAAGCCATGGGCCGACGGAATGAAAAGGGCAGGTCGTGATGTTGAGGAGCGTGTTGTCGCGCTCCTGAAGCTAGGTGATTGGGTTGCTGAACGCCGCAGATCGGCTGTTCGTTGGCTTGGCCGCATGAATACTGACAGCGGTTCGTGGGCACATTTAGCTTTTCAATTTCAATTGGCAGCCAGAGATGCGCGTCCAGCGGCAGGGGGGGGGGGGGGCAGTGCAAACGCTGGCTGGAGACCACCGTCGCGCACCAGAATTGAGGGCGCTGAGGCGCCACCGCGCCACCCGTCTTGGGACGGACTCCGTGCCGATGGAACGCGTCGTTCGTTCCCCCATTGCACGGACATGCGACCCTCGCTTTGGCTCCATTCTTGACAGCACATGGCATCGCCGTTACCATTCTCAAGTGTTGCGGCCCACGCACTCAAGGCGGTTGACAGAAATGCCCGGATGGCATCGGAGATTTGGACGTAAGATGCTCAGATTTCGAGGGCAACGACGGATCTGTTGAGCTGGACCCCCAGTCAACCCAGGGCGGGATGCGGATCTCTCCCGGAGGTGTCTGGGCAGGAACCTGACCGCGAAATGGCGGAACACCCGCCCGCCCCGCCACGCCGCCCCTGCCCGGCAGACCTCCCACACCCACGTTCCCCTTGGCCCCGCTGGCTACCCCCGCCCCCCAACGGCCGCCCCCAACTCCCGCCCTGCCGATCCTCCATAGTTCGACCCCTGATCCTCGATCACCAGTCCTCGACCCTCGACCCGGTTGTGCGGCTCGATGTGGAGCCCGACGTTCTCCACACCGATGGCGCTGATGCATCGCTGACGTCGCCGATGCATCGCCGATGCGGCGCGATTCTCCGACCCCATCTAGCCAAACCCCATATGGGAGGCTTCTACTGCTGGCCCACCTTCCCCTCGCCGCCGCGCGGACGCCCAAGCGGACGCCCGAGCGCGAGCGTCGCTGCGCGAGCGTCGCGTGCGCGCGGCGGCGGCGGCGGCCGAGGTCCACGCGCACTTCGGGCCCGAGCCGCTGGTGGAGCCGCGGCGGTGCTGCGGCGGCGGCGGCGGCGGCGGCGGCTGCTGCTGCTGCTGCTGCTGCTGCTGCTGCTGCGGCTGCTGCGGGGCCCTGCCACTTCTCGCTCGCTCTCTCTCTCTCTCTCTCTTTCTCTCTCTCTCTCTCTCTCGCTCTCTCTCTCTCTCTCTCTATCGCTCTCTCTCTCTCTCTCTCTCTCTCTCTTCCTGCCGAGGCCCTCCCCCCAAGTACGGTGGGGGCGTTCATGAGTCAAGGAACGCGCCCAGGAGGCTTCAGACCCTGAAGGATTCCTTGTGTGATAGGGGCGGCGGTGATACCCATGGCCACTCCACGATTGGGGTTTTGGCAGCTTCCAGACCATTGATCCCTTATCCGACGGTTCCTTATCCAATGCCCTCACCCTAGTTGGGGGAAACGTATTCGAGTCCGCCGGGATTCTGGTTTACCGACGTGTTATATTGGCCCGTCCTGGATTTGGACGGTACGGCCTTCGTGGGATGTTTGCGGCGGGAGCTCGCGTCAAATTTCAGATTGGGTTTTATCATTTTCCTGACAGCCCGTCAGGCCAACCGGAGCTCCCCAAACCCGAGTCTTGCGTCCCCCCGATTAGCGGACGACGCCGCAGGCCCCAACCTTCCACCCTTTGGATTCTGAACCCCCAGTCCCTTGCGGCGGTCCCATGGCACAGGGCATCGGATACCCGCCCAGCTCACTGCAAGGAAAGCATTGGTATGCCGAAGCGTGCCCTCAGGGAGCTTCCCTGTGTTTTCCCTCAGGAAGCAGGCTACCTTCTTGGACGACTCTTCCCTGCCACTTCCCTGGCAATCTTGAGCGCAGACCCCCGCATTGCCGCCGCTGCTGTCGTACTTCAGCTTGCAGCGCGAAGGCTGCATGCTCGATCGTAGACTCGCTTTGGAGGCACTGGTCCACTCATCTCGGGGTACGCCTGGACCGCTGGCTCGACGCAGGGTGGTTACACAGCCCCTGACAAGTAGATTACACATGGGCGTTGGCCGAAACGTCTATCGACTTCCACCATACTGTCAGGACGCTGAAATCTGGACCATTCAGAGCTCAGGAGGGGCTCTGATGCCTGGGCCGTTCCCGAGAATTGGGACCAAGGCTCGCCGTGGCCAGAAAAGCCCTGGCCTTCCTTCTTCGGCGCCCCTCATGGCGGCAACGCGTCGGCTGCATTGGGGAAGGGGGCCGACCTCGGCAAGATCTGGGGCCCCAGGAGGCCCCGAAGCCCCCGGGCTCCCCGCCGGCGTCCCTCCGAACGCCGCCGGCGCTGAGCCGATAGCCACGCGCGCACCTCACCGCCAGGAGTCGGAAGCGACGATCGGGGCGAATGCATAGCCCAGGGGCGGGTATGGCACAGATGCGCCCGTGAGCCTCGCCGAAGTGGGCATGGACCGTCGGCGCCCCTGGGTGCATGGATTGCCCTCCCCCCGGGCCGTTCGCCCCGCTCGTCGCCCCCCGAGGGAGGACCCCCGGGCGCCGGGGCAGGATGGGCCCCGTGAGGGTGCACTTCGCGGCCATGTTTCGTCGATGGGCCTCTCCCCTGCGTCTTACTTCTCGAGCAGAGCTGACGCCGCGGGGCCCTTGCTTCTGGTCCGGGGAAAAAGGGGCAGGAGGCGGAGGAGGAGGAGGGAGGGAGGAGGAAGAGGATGGGGGAGGGGGAGGAGGAGGAGGAGGAGGAGGAGGAGGAGGAGGAGGAGGAGGAGGACGGAGGAGGAGGGAAGATGATGATGTGATGATGATGATGATGATGATGATGATGATGATGATGATGATGATGATGATGATGATGATGATGATGATGATGATGATGATGATGATGATGATGATGATGATGATGATGATGATGATGATGATGATGATGATGATGATGATGATGATGATGATGATGATGATGATGATGATGATGATGATGATGATGATGATGGTCTCGGAAACGGGGCAGGGGGTGGCGCAGACGCTCATGGGCTGTAGGTTGCGCCCATGGGTGGTGCCGCCGGGTACGGCCATAGATTCCGCCATCGGTTGCACTTCGGCTGATGCGCAAAATTCAACACCTTTCACGCTGATGTTTGTGAACATCCCCCCCGCGCCCCCAATTCAACATTGGCGGGCTGCGCCGCGAAGTGTCGATCTGTCGACTGGCCGAAATTCTGCGCTCCGCTGGCGATGCCAACCAACATTAGATCAGGGGCAGGGGGGCGCGTTGCAGTTTGTGCCGGTACCTGGTCGCGCGGGTGGTGCAGGAGTAGTTTGTCCATCAACCTTTGCGTCCATAGGTTACGTCATGGGATGTTCAGATTGCAGAGGCATCTCGGTCAATTCGACCGTTCCCTACAAGAGAACAGCTTGGGCGCAAGATGCTGAAGGGGGGACCTGGGGCCTGGGGCAAGGGGCAGTGGCGGCTTGAATGCGATCCTCCTCCTTCTCCTCCTCCTCCTCCTCCTCCTCCTCCTCCTCCTCCTCCTCCTCCTCAGCCTCCCGCAGAGAGGAGGCGAGAGGACGGCCCATGGGCAGCCCGGCGCCTGGCCAACCCCCCGCGCCTGCCCAAGGAGCTGCCGTTCCGGTGCCGCACCGTCCAGCAGGCCGCCGAGGAGAGCGGCGCCCCCGCCGCCAGAGCGAGCTCCGGGCCTCCCGGACGGGTCCCCTCCTCCTCTTCCTCCTCCTTCTCCTCCCCCTCCCCCCTCCCCTCCCCCTCCTCCTCCTCCTCCTCTCCTCCTCCTCCTTCCACCTCCTTCTCCTCCTCCTCCTCCTCCTCCTCCTCATCATCATCATCATCCTCCTCCTCCTCCTCCCCTCCCCGAGCCGACCTCGATCTTATACAACGGCGCCCTCGAGGGCGCGAAGTGAGTCGCGCTTCGCGGGCCTCGCTCCTCCTCCCCCTCCTCCTCGTCCTCCTCTTCTCCCTTTGGGGGGGCGGCGCGAGGGCGCGAAGTTGTTCGCGCCTCGCGCTTCGCGCAGCGCGAAGCGCGAAGTTGGGAGCCCTTGTTATACCTCGGGCCGACTGTGCCAGCGGCGCCACTGCCTCGCGGCCCGCCCAGCTCCGACACGCTACGGGCCACCACCACCCGACCAGGGGAGTGGCCCGAGGCGCCCCCGCTCCTGCCGCAGCTCCGCCTCGGCCCGCTCGGCGTCCTCCTGCCACCTGGACGCCGCCTCCCGGAGCTCCACCCTGGTCCTGGGTCGGGTATAGCCAGGACCCCAGGTAAGGGGACCTTAGTTGCCTCGATGCGCGCGTTTTGAAACGCAACACGTCCCGTGTTCAAGGCGTCCGTGTCAATGCGTTGCGTGTTGGCTCCACGTGTTGGACCACGTTTGGGCGAGTGTATCGCGTCGGACCTATCGATACGGTGCGTGTTGCGTGTTGCGTATCGGGGCAGCTAAGAAGTGGACCCAGTTAGTAGCAGGGAGCCCCGAAAGTGGCCGAATCACTGAACCGGGTCTGCCGCAGCTGGCGTTTTTTCGGGTGACGGCAGTTCCGGTTAGTGGAATGGGGCGGAGAGGCGCCCCCCAGTGCTCATCACTAAACCATGTCCCAGTAAACCCAGTCCTGCCAACGCCCGACTGGGGTCGGAGGATCGCGCCGCATGGCCGGTGCATCGCCGATGCGGCTCGACGTGGAGCCCGATGCCCTCCTCGCCGACGTCGCCGACGCACCGGCAGTGCATCGGCGATGCGGTGCGGCGCGGTCCTCCGGCCCCATCTGCTCGGACCCCCCGAGGAGGCCTCCAGAGAGCGGCATGAAGAGGAGCTGTTCGGAGGTCCGCGCGGAGCTCTCGAGTCGGCGCTGGACACGCGCCCTGGCGGAGCCTCCGGCGCCGCTCCCGGCGCCCTTCGCGCGCCGGGGGGGGGATCCAGTGGCGAGCCCAGCATTCCGCGTGGACCTCCGAATGTTTTGTGCTTCTGCCGGCTGATGCTCCTCTCTATGTAGGCCTGGGTGCGGTTTCGTGCCAGTCTTCCTCGTCTTGATCCTGGGCCTGCCTCTTCTCCTCCGCAACAAGCTTGACTCCTGTAAGACCAGGTGTCCCAGATTCATCCTTCTTACTTGAGAGGCCTGCATTGCTCGTACCTGCCATCCCACTGCTATGTTGCTGAACGCTCCTCGTGATGATCATCGGCTGCACTGTCGTGCAGCCGTCTCGTCACGTGATGTTGGCGTTCGATGGTTTCTCGCTTCTGGTAATGCTCCGCGATGGTTGGCCCAGGTGGCTGCATGTATGAACGCACAGCACCAGAATTTAAAGATTTGCTCCCCCATCGGCGATGCTGTCCATGGCGTGCGCGCGTCATTCGGAAGTTTCTTTGGTACCAATGTTCCGTAAGAGTCCAGCCTCGCATGGGCATGCACGAACGATGCGGCCAGCTTCCAGCGCTGCTCGGGTATGTGCTGTTTGCGCTGAAGGCTGAGATAAAACGCCACGATGAGTCGGAGATGTGGGAGGTCATGCTCCATGGGCTTCTTTCGGTCGAATTATCTTGCGCGACTGACACTGTCATCCTCGAGAACATCCAAGCACGTTTGCAGTGTACCACAGCCGCTGCCACAATATGTGCGCCACTTCGTTGAGGCCTTGGCAGAGACGCGAGCCATACTCTCAAGGCGAGGGGTGCCCACGTGCATGGCCTGATTCGATCTCAGCCACCACATCGGAATAATGATGAAGGAAATGGCCCCATATGTGATCAGAGACATGAGTCGCCAGTTGATGGATCACACATGTCCCAAGACGGATGTCTAATGGTCTTCTTTGTTCTGCCATATTGACATGGTAGCCGAGCCGAGAGTGATTCCAACAGGTAAGCAGGGCGATCACCGAAGATGTTCTGATCGCTGCGATGTGAAATGGGAGTGGCATTGCTGACACAGACGTGACAGCAGTACTGGAAAATTGTGTGAGGCTGGCAAACTCCCAAGCCTCGGAAGCCCCTGCATGCTTTCGCCAAGCACCTAGAGCGGGTCGCCCCCACGATTGATACGAAGAGGTAGGCGAAGCACACGCAAGCGCAAGAAAACCAACGAGACCCATGCGACATGTCGTGGCCCATGAGTGCGACGTCGACGTCGACGGCGAAGTTTCAGTGAAGGTATGGTACTTCCGCTCTTGGTCATATTCGGAGTGCGCCCTCCCCAAACCAGTGTGCTTTGATGTTCGCGCAACGGCACGGACACCATACGGCGACATTGGAGTCAGAGTCTTCCGATCTTCCGAACTCAACGTGAGGAAGCCCGGATCGACATGGTTCCGCTGGTCGTGTCAACCCAAGCACTCATTGCTTCGGAGTGGGGGCGACTTGTCAGTCTCGACCAAGAGATGAAGATAGAGGTGGCCATCGGCACCGTGGTGCGCGCTGTGCACGCGTGATTTGTATATGTACTCGTTGATCGCATGCAGATCACACTGGAGGGATAGAGGGACGGCGAGTGCCTTCGAGCGGCATCGTATAGACGTTGCTGAATGCATTGTGTTTGTGCTGACATCTGACTTGTGGAGAGTTACTTGAGATCGGGGAGTGGACAGAGGGCTCGACGCCCCGAGATAAAGCGCACCTGGTGATGGCGCGTTCTGGTGATGGAATGCTTCCTGAACAGTAGCCGCAACCATCGTACGCGTACCAAACGCGACCGGGAGACATATTGAGGAGGTGGTCGGCGGTGCTTCTCACGCTGGATTTCCAAACGCCTGATTTGCCCGCATGCAAAGTAAAGTTTTGGGGAAGTCATGTGAAGATGGTTCCACCCGCATGCTCCCGCGCGCGGCGTGTAGAAAGGCTCTCGCGCCAGGGTGCGTTTGTACATGGGGCTTTCTAAGAAGGTCCTCGAAGCTTCTAAGAAATGCTACACCAGAAGAAATAAAGCGTCCTTGAAAAGACCATGATTCTGGGATTTGGTCAAACGCGGGACGGGACTTGACGGAGTAGGTGGGTGTTGTTCCCGCCTTGCTGTCTTTACTGGCGGGATTAGATTTATCCATCCTGATTTGTGAGAGCATATTTAGTTATAGTAGAGAATGCGATCAGGTCCTGTCCCGCCACAGCGTCTCTTCGCTAGCAGTCTAAGGGAGGATGGGAAGGGGGATCATCATCATCATCATGACGAGAATGCGAATGATCCGTCATCATGACAGTGATCACCAGGGTCACATCATCATGGCGGTACTAATCATCATGGTATTGCCTGCGATCGCCGCCGTCACCTCGACGGTCGCCAATAACGCAGACAGAACGGCCATGGCCGCGATGAGAACGGCCATGGCGGTTACCAGCAATGAATTCATCATGGGCCAAATGCCGAACTCGCGAGCGCGTCAACCTACCGCGTCTGCCCCGCGCGATGCCCATTTGGAAATTCAAGAAAATTCTGCTCCACCGCAGGATTGGCAGCCAGGCGGGCGTCTGAGAAGCCTCGCCGTTTTCTTACAATCCCTGCCGACTTCTCAAAAGCCCACCACCCTCACGCCACCCCCGTGCGGGCGCCGCCCAAGAGTAGCAAGGTCTTAGATTGGCGGCGCACAGTGGGGGGCAGGGGAAGGGGGGAAGGCTTCTTGGAAGCAACCCCTGCTTCTTAGAAGGTGCGGACCTTCTCTGTCGATGTAAGGCCGGCGCCTTCTAAGAAGCAGACTCCTTCTAAGAAGCCTTCCCCCTCCCCCTACCCCCTTCTGCGCGCAGCCAATGAGATCTGCAGATCGTCAGGACTCCTGATACCTGCGCTCTCGGCGCCCGCCCTGAGGCAGCGGCCCATCGACGCGAGCAACTCGGCCCCCACGCTCCTCGCGCAGCAGCTATGGGGAGACAGCGCGCGTGTTCATCCAGCCGCTGCGGGGGCACCGCGCTGGCACGCCCATCCAGAATTCCACGCTCAACTGCGACAACGGGCTCAGCAATGATTCTGCACAGGTTGCAAGCGTTGCGATGATTTCGGGGCTTTGTAGGAAGGAGCGCACCGCACGGTGAGCACAAATTCCACATTATTCTGAGGATGGCAGCCCGTGCTGCCTGCCCCAATTCGTGCCCGGCGGTCTCTGTGGCCGTGATCGGCTGTCGAAGATGCTTCCTGCCAACGTGGTCGACGAACCAACACTGCATTGCATACTGGCCCTCCTCACCCCGCTCGTCCTCGTCCTCCTCCCCCTCCGTCTCTTTCTCCTTCTCTTCGCCCTCTGCCCTGCCCTCCCCTGCCAGACATCACGTTGCCTCCTTGGGCCGCCGATCTCCCTGCACGCGCCGCCGCGGACGCACCCGGCTCGGAGCGCTGGCGCCAGGCCGGGGCGACGCCCAGGAGCGCCCCGTCGGCGGCGCGCCGAGGGGGCAAAGTGAGAGGGGGCGGCGACTTTCAGCGGGCGGCAGGGTTGCCCAGAAGCCCTCGGGCCTTCCGAGAAGCTGCCCGCGGCCTCGGAGGAGGCTCACAAAGAGCTCCTCCGAGGGCCGCGGGCCTCCCGAGCTTCCCGGGGAGGGCCCGCCCGCCTTGCCCGCCCGCCCCTGGGCGCGCCGCTGGGGAGCGAGGCGCTGGGGAGCGAGGCGCCCTGCGCCGCCACCTGGCCCCTCGCGGGCAGAGCCCGAGCCTGGCGAGCGGGGGGGCCTCACAGGGCCCAGGCCCAGGCCCCCTCGCATCCCCCTCGACCTCCTCCTCCTCCTCCTCCTCCTCCTCCCCCTCCTCCTCCTCCTCCTCCTCCTCCTCCTCCTCCTCCTCCTCCTCCCCTCCTCCTCCTCCTCCTCCTCCTCCTCCTCCTCCTCCTCCTCCTCCTCCTCCTCCTCCTCCTCCCCACCTGCGGGCAACGCGCGAAGGCGGTCCTTGACGCGCCGCTCGCCTCGGCGCTGTTGGCAGGGCCTTTCCTCGGAAGCCCACGGGCGCGTTGTGCACCGTGGGCGTCCTTTGGATCGCGCCTGCTCACAAGCTGCAGGCAAGACGAGAAGGAAAGGACCGCTGTGGGCCGAGGCGCTATGATCCTCTGGCCGTCCCTCAGATCCAGATCGGGGAGCTCGTTCGTGGCCGAGGCTCGCCGTGGCCAGGAAGGCCCCCCCGTTCGTCGTTCGGCGCTCCCCAGGGCATTACGAGGACTGCAGGAAGAGGAGAAGGGAGAGGCGAAGGGAGGAGGAGGGTTCGCTCCACCTGCTAAGTTTTCCTCCCAACCCCGGATCCTGACCCCCGGACCCGGAGGTCCCCGGAGGCCCGAAGAGGGCCGACAAAAACGTCCAAAAGGCGTTGCGAAAACGTCGGCAGTCCCTCCTCGACCCTCGAGGAGGGCCCAAGGCGAGACTTGGCAGCTCCACCGCTCGGCGGCCTGTCTTGCAGGCCCAGCCCCCTCCGATCCTCACATGCCTCGATACGCCCGTCTTGATATTCGCGACACGTGCCGTGCGTACTGCCTCAACGTGTGGTTCCACGTTCTGGCGAGCCTATCGGGCCAGACCCACGTTTTCAGCATACGTGTCGACCTCCGGGTCAACACGCCACGTGTTGCGTGCTGCGAATCAGGGCGGCCAGGATCCTGGTCTCCGGCAAGGGACTGCTCGCTCAGAAGGGGAGGCCCTCCCGCGCGCGCGCGCGCCACGCAGGAGGACGTCGTGGTGACGAAGTACCCCGCTCCCGAGGGCGGAAAGCACGTAGTTTTGTTCCCCGTCTGCATCCCGGACCAGGAGGGGCAGGGGCGCAGGCAGAGACATCCGACGCTCCAAGAGAGCTGGAGCCGCGGGTGTTCGGCCTCCGGCGGCCTTGCCGGGCCTCGGGGCCGTCAAAAAATTGTTCGGGACGAGAAACCATCAGGAAGGGGGAAAAAAACACACAGACACAATTAATCGTCGATTCCCAGGAAAATATGGGAAAGCATGGGAAGTGGGGGGAAAGACGAGAGCCTAGGAAATATGTGAAAATATGGGGAATCCTGTCATTTGTGTGTATTTATGTGTGTGTGTGTGCGTGTGCGTGTGCGTGCGTGTGCGTGCGTGTGCGTGCGTGTGCGTGCGTGTGCGTGCGTGTGCGTGCGTGTGCGTGCGTGTGCGTGCGTGTGCGTGCGTGTGTGTGCGTGCCTGTGCGTGCGTGTGCGTGCGTGTGTGTGTGTGTGTGTGTGTGTGGGCGTGTGGGCGTGTGGGCGTGTGGGCGTGTGGGCGTGTGGGCGTGTGGGCGTGTGGGCGTGTGGGCGTGTGGGCGTGTGGGCGTGTGTGCGTGTGTGCGTGTGGGCGTGTGGGCGTGTGTGCGTGTGTGCGTGTGTGCGTGTGTGCGTGTGTGCGCGTGTGCGCGTGTGCGCGTGTGCGCGTGTGCGCGTGTGTGCGTGTGCGCGTGTGCGCGTGTGCGTGTGTGCGTGTGTGCGTGTGTGCGTGTGTGCGTGTGGGCGTGTGGGCGTGTGGGCGTGTGGGCGTGTGGGCGTGTGGGCGTGTGGGCGTGTGGGCGTGTGGGCGCGTGGGCGTGGGCGTGGGCGTGTGCGTGCGTGCGTGCGTGCGTGCGTGCGTGTGTGTGTGTGTGTGTGTGTGTGTGTGTGTGTGTGTGTGTGTGTGTGTGTGTGTGTGTGTGTGTGTGTGTGTGTGTGTGTGTGTGTGTGTGTGTGTGTGTGTGTGTGTGTGTGTGTGTGTGTGTGTGTGTGTGAGTGTGTG